CYTKKTTTTTAACTATTCGTATTTAACTATTTTTTTTTGGCATGTTTTCGCACAAAAAAATGAGCGAACTCACCCGGTCAAATCATAAATCTCCTTGCAAGACATGAGCAATTTAAACGGTGCCACTAGAAGGTAAGGTTAAAAATAACAATTAGAAAATCATAAATTTTGGTGAAACCGTAGTTCATGTATAGGTCAGTTTTAACCAGCAAGAAAAAAACTAGACAGTCAAAGATTTGTGACCACTAGCTGGTAAAGCACTATTCTTATGGCATTAAAAAGAACTATAGATTGTATAATGAGGCTAGGAGGTAGAATTGCAGAATATTCGTCTCACATGCAAAACAGAAAACCTGCCGCATCCTACTTATTTATGACTACCCTGTTCCACAAGAGAACGATGATTAAAAAATTTATCGTCTAATTGACATTCAACCAATATTTTTATATGCTAGCAAATAATAGTATAAACAATAATAATAGTAATGATAACAACATTTATATAATAATAACTTATAGGGGCTAGCTCAAAAGACTCACGATCAAGGTTTCCCAATACGTTGGGCTCCAACAATGAGTTCGGCTGTTGATTATGAATAATTTTCCCATATTATTGCAATTCCAATCTTAAGAGTTTTGTTTCAGACAAAAAAGTGTTCAGCGTTTCAGGATAATCCTTCACTCCGCCTCTTAAGAACGTGTCTCTGTAAGAGTCAAACATCTTGGGAAATGAAAATTTTCTACCCCCCTTCAAATTTGGCATGCAGTCAGGCACTCAGGGTGGATGCAAAAAAAAATGCACTCTTGTTGCCATGGTAACAACGACTGCTTGTTCGAGGCCTGGGGCCTCATTTTCATTCAAAAACATCCTAAAATAGAGTAAATGTTTATTTCTCTATCTCAAGCTAAATACAACATTACAGATTGGTACTTCTAGCAAACACAGTGACACCACTCATCTTTACTTTGATGCATTAAATTTTCCCTGGGAGTGAATGTGAACACACTGATAGATTATTTATCTTGGTACACTTTCGTTCATTTTTGATGTATTGTAAAACAGGGAAAACGTTTGTCTAAATTTCTCCAAACAGTACACTGATTCTGGAACTGAAATTTCGCACTTAGTTGGTTATAATATTCCAGTTTTTAAATATGTAAAAATCTCTGCGGACCAGCCTCTACTTTTCATAATGGCAATTCGCGCACGAAGCTCAAAAATCGGATATTGCATAAATTGGCCGCAATGTTTACATCTGATGTTCTCAACAACAAACGTTTCAGACAAATGAAAAGTGCAAGACTTTGAAATAATGTTATCTTTTAAGCAATATCCCGAAGAGAAATCTCGCCTCCAGCTTCAATACTTAAAAAAAATTGATCAGCCTTCACGAAGGACTACTCGACGTAACTAGAAACATGTTCCTTAAATCGCGTGCATATTATCCAGATTCCGACTACTGTACCCTCTTTCATGGGAATTTGAGCAATCCGAAATCCTCTGACGATACACCGTTGTACTTTTCTGTCATTTGAAACATGTTAAAGTTGGCTGATCTACACGAAACTATCGTAACACGGGTCATTTGTCATAAACATGTACGTTATCGCAATGGCGTGACGCTGGATTTCTCCGTGAATATTCTATCAGGACGCTCCAAAGAAGACGAGAAATGGACATTTTTCGATATTGCAGCAGATTTCCGCGCATTCTGAGGTAAAAACAACCAAAAAAGGAGAGGAAAACCTTGATTGAACGGTCGTAAACACTGAAAGTGAGAGTATAAATCACAACTTGTTCCGCGATTCCGCCAATCCATCTTTCCTCCAATTCATTATTCTGTTGAATAACTCGCAAATTTAGTGGCTCTTTTCGGGTAAAGTCGCTGATTCAAACAATAAAACACTCTCTTTTGAAAGAAAAAAATCCTTGAAGCTTCAATGATGTGCAGGTCACATCTATTAAGATATTTCTGCTAGAAAAGTTTTGATTTAAATTTCGCGTCAGTGGATGCCACTGTGAAATTATTTTGAGTTTTTTATTGTCTTTTGTAGTGTCACGGTAAGAACTGAAAAGATTATTATATCTTCGGGTCTTCATGATTTACGGATTTAAATGGTAAATTGCTTTCTCTACATAGAAAAAATATTCCCTTAGTTTCATGATGCGCTGATTAAACCTATTAAGATGTTTTTAGGAGGAAAAGTTTTGTTATCTAAAATCGCGTGCAATCCTGAAATGATTATGAAACGCTTATCGCCTTCTGTTGTCTTCCGTACTGTCATGGCAAGAACTTCTGAAAACATCATGTGCTAGCGGCTATGAGCGAGAAATCATGAAAGAAGAGAATTGCGTTGTGTATCGAGTGCTAACGTCAAACTATTAAGAAAAACTGACTCCGAAAAAGAACAATAAGTAGCACTGGGAAACATCGGGTCAAAATTGATTCAAAATCGGAATTCTATTTTTACACTCACTCACTCACTCACTCACTCACTCACTTGCTCACCCACTCACTTACTCACTCGCTCACTCTCTCATATCGACAACATATGTAGCTTCACCTCCTAAAAGAGGCAGTAACCACGAGAACAAATGAAACTGTCCGAAGAAATAAATATACAACCAAACTATTTGAAAACTACATGTCATATCACCTGGACTCGGACAGTCCTTTTCTCCAATCATTTCCTTGAGCTCATCCAGCTTTATATCTGCACTCTGGCAGAATTTGCTTTCTCCTTTTCCAGTATCTGCGAAAATGGTGAAATTCACCAGGAAAATAATTGCAATAAGTTTCATTGCTGCAACTTCTGACTCTCACACTTCAAGCTAAGCCGATAGGGTTTGAAGTTAAGGAAAGATGGATTGGCCAGTGGAGCGAGCACCATTTATAATTCTTAATTGGTATGAAGCTTAAAACCTTTATTCTCCATGACTAGGGCAATGATTGGTCTCACTTTTTTCGGAAAGTCAATCAGGTCCCACACATGATTTGTTTATCACTTGTGAACGGCAGTTTTGAAGGTTTTCAAGAAAGTCCAAATAACTATAGATACGGACACCTGCGTCACTAACCTTGGCTGAAAAGTTTTAGTCATTTTTCTTGATGACTTAGCTCGGGAAGGGAAAATACCACCAGATGTCTGTCTAAATTGTCTTGAAAGTCTTGTTACAAACACAAACTACTTCTATTCTCTAATCCACTATCTTCCGTGACTTTTACTCGGAGGCGGCTTTTCTCATGTTGGAAAGTTATTGAAACAAAGTGGTCGCCGTCAGAAAAGAATTACCACGGATTTGAATCCGTACGTGAGTACGTACGTGAGTACCTTTGCTAACTTTGAATTGTTTTTCTCTCTACTGACCGTCGGCATAGCCGACCCTGCAGTGAAAGAGATCACCACCCCCCCCCCACTCATCGTAGAACTCAAGTTTGATTAACAACAAAAGTGACACGCAATAGTACCCAAATATGACAGTACAGGGGCTTTTTTAGATCGATAAAGAAGGCAAAAACATGGCAGAAAGAGAAAACTCTTTAGATGGTATTTGGAACCCTTTGAAAAGATATTGTAGCTATAACTGCACTTTTGACTGATTTGGCGGCAAACATTTATTTCCCATGCAGGTGGAATGAATTGACTGCTTCTTAATCAGTTTCACTGGCTCGGGGAGAGGATTAATAAAATGACGATGTCTCTGATAATCACTTGAGCATCACCTTTGTATGGAATTGTTATCATGGCTTTTTAAACTTTTACAATAGCGAATGGCAGGAGTCGCAGTTATTCATTGATCAAGTGACTCCTTTCATTGCTCTAATTCAACTGTCCTTCACTCATTGATCAAGATAGTAGATTTACCATACAATATTCGCGATAAGTTAGTTTGCCTTTACTTGGGAAAGTGGATTTACAAGACGATTGAGTACATATAGAAAATGTCCTTACAGTTCGTTAACACTATGTAACGTAATACACTAAACACAACAAATGTGGCGTAAAGCACACTGGTTGAATACAATGCATTTTTGTGTCAATAAGTGTCTTATTACCTTATTGTCTTATTGCTTTTAAGTGTCTTATTGCTCGCTGCGCAGCAATAAGACACTTATTAAAATGTCTCTGGTCTCCAGGTAGATTTTGAATCGTTAAGAAAGACATTTCTTGAGTGGACCATGGCGTTTCATATTGCTTAGACGTCGTTTGAGGTTGGAATACTTCTAAATTCAAAGTAGACTGGCTTGGGCGAGTATCATCGGACATAGATGTAAAACCTGACTGAAGTATCCAAAAGACTTTTCCGAAACTAAAAACTGTTGATCTGAGTTTGCAAATGTCTATGTACCTTGTGCGGCTTAAACAACTATTCATTTGGTCTTTCGATCCAATAAATACGTTTTTTATCAGGGATACAACCGCAAAGGAAACAAGTGGGTCCCCTGTACTCCTTTGTAACACTCACTCACGTAAATATGTTTGGCCTTTTTATGCATCACGAACGATATTCAAAATTTTTTTCAGGTTCACGCGAAATTTGGGACGGTCACTTTTCACATACAAATAAAAAGTCAAACTCAGGACTTGATATTTTTCTCTTATTTTAGTCTTGACCAGTCTCAAGTGACAAAAGATGACGTTATGTCTTAACTTATTTGTTCAAAAACTATTGGTGGTCTGTATTATGACGTTTAATGACACATACGAAGTCCATGTCCTGTTAAAACCCCAGTCAAAACTTAACCACAGCCGTACGAGAATAATACATACATTTTCAAAACAATGAAATAGACGGGAATTTATCACGCAAAACAGAATGGTCCACGAATCACGTTTAATTCAGCTCTTTATTCTCGAGTCACTTTTAAAGATGACACGGACATGACAAAGATCTTTTCATCTTTAAGAGCGTGTCCACGAGAAAACAGCGCAGAACCGGGCAGGGGGCGATAAACCTCAAATCACCGATGTGGCTCAAACTTGGCACAAATGCTAAGTATCATGAGTTAACAAATGTGTGAAAATAATAGGTCAAAATGTTTAATTCTCTGGGANCTATCCAGCAATTAACAATTGGTTCATGCTTTAGCGTGCACTATCGAGTTATGGAGCACGTGGGAAGTTTCAAGAGCACTCAAGAAGCTAGAGTTGCCCCCGGCTATCGCCTCGGGCAACTCTTACGCTTCTTTCGTGCTCTCCAAACTTCCCACGTGCTCCATAACTCGATAGTGCACGCTAAAGCATGAACCAATTGTTAAGTAAATTATACCGAACACGGGAAAGAAAAACAAAACGCATTCCCGAAGGAATGCTAATGAACTGAAGTAAAATGCAGAGAATGCTAAATTCTACAGTGCAACTTTTGGCTTGATATCATTTGTTAGATATCATTGATATCTAACAAATATCTTTTCGCTTGATATCATTTGCTGTTTCGAAACAAATTGTCACCTGCTGCGGACTTTTCAAAGACAGTTCATAAAGCTGGTACACCTCTTGGAATACTTACTATAGGGAGGCAAGTTCTCAGAAAAAAAATATTTTTAAGGTTCATTATAGCAGACTCGTTAGCCTTCCTGATCGTTAGATCTGGACTGACAGGAAGTGAAATAAGTTTAAAAATTTGCGTAAACCCCGCGCATCGGGTAAAACCCCTTAATTTGCAAAACAATGATGAGCGATATGCCATTCAGGCTCATAAGTCTGGACAGGACCAAAAGAAATCAGTTTCGTTTAGCAAATACACGAGAAAGATATACTGACATCGCTTGGACTGACGTTACTTACCCGAATTCTTCAGAGCATAGAAGCCACAGATAAGTCCACAAACTTCATTTGAAGACGTAACTTTGCCGTATAATTGAAGTAAGCTGTGCAGTTTTGAAGATTTGAAGTGATACACTAGAATATAATACAAAAAAGATTCAGTTCGTTTGAGTTATTTCCCCCAAAGAGTAGTCACTATATTTCTTCAGGAATCAGGCCCCTTTTAAATCATTATGAAACAGGAGAGGCGTAGAACACTCTTGTAGGTGGGAGCAGATCAATAATAAAGAGAGCGAGGGTTTATTTGATCATCGCACACAGCAACTCAAGCTCAGAGTTGAAGCGTTAATGATAAAGATCCATACCGTTAGAAATGACGTTATTTTCCTCATGTAACAATACTTAATGTAGTTACCCGGAACTCCCGTTGCAAAGTTACTTAAAATTTGTTTTTCACATTTTTCTTTATTTCTTCCTCACCTCCTGATTTTTGTTAGCAAATGTAGAAAATTTGTACATCAGGTCAGCACTAAGAGATTGAGCTGGTTAGTTCTTGTACGCAGGAAGCTACGAGACAACAAAAACAAAACAAAAGGAAGGTATCGACTGTCAGACAATCAATATCTCGTTCACTTCTGTCCCTTTACACACCAAACAGTGTAAATCAATATCGAAACACTTGAAGCTACGTTCTCTCGCCTTGAATATTTTCTTCCAGCATAGATTTTACCGAAATGAAGGTGTGTTCAAACTTTTGTGGTGAAATCACATGACTGTGCCGCGTGGTTTCATTTTCATTTTGAATATATTTGGTGTATTTCAGGTGAGCAATGAGATCACGGGTAATGTAAAATTGTGATCTGGAAAAGAACAATGAAACTCGAGACTTTTTGTTATATTCTATTTACATCATCTTTACGGTCTTTTAGTTCCGATTTTGATGAAATTTTTGCCCGACATGGAGGCTTAAAGGTATGACGTTAATGGCAATAAGAAATGTCTACTGACATTGAACATTACAACTAATTTTTTATTGTACTCAAAGTTAATTCCCAACCTCGGCAATTTATCCTTATTGAGAAAAAGCCTTAAAATCCCTGGTTCACAGATGATGCGATATCTATGGTTTCGCAAAATAATAAAAAAAAACCGATTGAAAGCAGACGGCAGGAGGTGTTATTTTGCCCACTGTGCCTTCTTTCTATGGAAACCGTAGGCACTACGTTCTGGCCCGGGTGTCGTGTATGTCCGTAAACCTTGTAGACACTTGTAACGTCTCTTGTGACTCGTCCTGGCTCAGTTCCTACACTGGCCATCCTTGAACGAATCTAATTAGGTTTCTTCGGATAAATTTTTTCTTTCGGGCTTAGTTTTTATCTTTTAGTGCCTCCCATCTGCATTTCGATATCAGGGAGCTTAAGATACTGGACGCAGCTGCCTTTAAGAACCCGGTCACGCCCGAGAGGGCATGGGTCGTGACCCCCACCTTTGCGCGGGAAATACGAGCCTTAAGATTTGCGTTGTGGAAGCGGTCGCCGAAACACATAACAACAATCACATTCAGTCAGAGAATAACTGCTGGAATCAGTAGGTTTTGCTGCTATGACGTCGTTTAAGAAGACCCCAGAGCTTTTAACAGGCTCTTATTTGGCCGACATGATTTCTGACGAAGAATTCGTGCTCCTCTGTGACTGCAGCTTTTCAAAGAACTTAGAATTACCGTATGAAGAGTACGAAAGATTTGACCTCGAAGAAAGATGGCGCAAAATAATATAATGCAAAATAATGCAAAATCATTTTCTAAAGCGGTCCTAAACTGCCACTGATTAGTTTTACACGATAAAAATGAAGGTTAAAATGAAAAATAAAGCAATACTGTCCGAGGAAATTTACCCAGATCTACCTGCTTTTCGGATTCCTTTCTGAAGACTTCAGGCTCACACAAAAACCCTCTATATGCTCGGTAAATCTGAATTATGAAAACAAAAATGAACCAGACAGTTTAGGAATCTATTTCTTTTATAATAATGTTTGCAAATTTTATGCAAAACTTGTAAATTTAAGGGAAGAATTCGGAAAAATGACTCACCTTTCTGAGAGGCCGCCAAAATAAACTTCGTCGCCGCCGCAACTGAGGTGGTGGCCGTCAAGTGGCGTGACATTTATGCAAATTAAAATTGAGAGCTTGCGAATTTACTTCCGGTTGGCGTCGTCCTCGGCCGCGTCCGAGTTAGAGTCTAGTTAGATTAAGCACCGCGAAAACGGCGAACGCTGAACGTCGGCTAGCCGTTTGTCGTTTGCCGTTCCGTCAGCGATTTTTGTCTGTGTAGGGAATTTAAGCAAACCGCGACGGCGACGGCAACGAGAACGTGGGAAAACAATAGATCTAATTGGCAGAACAATAGCCCAGCACGTGCGTTTTAAAACTTTGTACATTTCTTAGCCGTCCTTTGCAAAACAGCAACGTGAAATCACCAAAATTTGCGTCGTCTCCGAACCGAAACCGCGGCGGCAAATTATTTTAATTTACATTTGGAACTCAACGCTTCTTTTACGCGTTATGTTGAGTTTGAGGTCTGGCGCCCTGTGAGACGGTAAACACATGCAGCCATTTTCAAAATTCTAACTAAAAGTAGAAACTCATTTTTTAATCGACGTCTTCCGTGGCGTTGCCGTCGTGACTGCTTAAGTTCCCATGTTTAAGCTTCCGGACAATACGGCAGAACAAATGTTCTCGGTCGATCGTCATTCACTGCGACTAGAATGGATACAAAGAAGTAATGTATTTTCCGCTTGAATTTGAACCGCTATTAGCTTCACAAGCAGTTCATATAGAAGTAATATGATAAACAAAGCTTAGCTATAAAAGCAAGCGATCAAAATGTAGAAATAGTCGGTAAAAATGGGCTGCAAATACTCACGTTTTCGCGTTCCCTACAAACGGGAAAAATGTCCTCCTCAAGTAGAAACGGCGGCCGGCAAACGGCAAACGCAGGAAATGTCAGGTCACGTGACCCTCTCTGCCGTTCGCAGTTCGTGACCCTCTCTGCCGTTCGATGTTGTCAGATACGTCGTCAAACGTTCGCACATGTGCGTTTACTCCGAACAAATCTTAACATATCCTTTGAAAAAGAATTTCAATCGAGATGAAAAAAAGCAAAAACAAAACAAAACAAAAAGAAAAGAAAAGAAGAATAAAGGAAAAAGACAAAAAGGAAAAAGTCAGCGCGACCGGGGTTCGAACCCAATACCTTTGGTATATCCGTAGCGCCAGGTGCGCAGAGCGTGCGAATTAACTTAGTTTTGTTGTGAAATATATTTGATGCACATTTTATACATGTACCTATTCTAATAATTTCCTGCTTTTTCCTCGGTCAGTCAATTGACCAGTGTACAAACTCTGCTCTAACCAAGTCCTCCCTTAGTTACAAGTTTGGCATCGACAAGAGCTATTAATTAACCTCTCTTCCATTTTACACTGCCTTACTTTTTTACTGCAATACACAACAACTTTACGCACGTGCCCGTGGACGTGCAGTCAAAGACTGCCCTTTTTTTCCCCTGAATCTCTATCAGCACATCACGAAATAACTTTCTGCAAAATTTTGAAAACTTCCTTGTATACAGTTCGGATGTCACCTTAAATTCAGATGATTTACTGTGGCCACCTTGAGAGGAATTACTCCGATTAACGCCGACATGGTAGACTCATCTCTCTGCTTGATCTTCTGTTTTTATATTTTAGGAAGGAATGGTGGCGCGATAGAGTGCTATCACAAAGGAAGAAGTTTCGTTTAATGGAAGTCTTTTGTTTCATTTTAGATGGAGGACGAGTACCGTGAGTTTACCGTTCCTTACGTGCATGTAAATGACGAAGAAAATTCTCTTAAAGGCCGTCTATTGCTGGTAACGAAGCGTGTTTTGACCTCGACCACGGTGAGGGTACTGTGTTGCGTTGCTTATGCAATGTTTTTCATCTGGCAAGTGATTGGTTTGATCTTGTACTCCATCCGTGCCTTTGAGGCAACTCTCACTGCCAGACGCGCAAGCTTCCAACCAGCAGACATCATCTCGTTTGATCGCTCTGAACAGCTGGAGCTCGCTTGGGTAATTTCCCAGGTATGCAACTGTGCCTTGGTACTCATGGCTATATCAAGAGTACCTTCTTTCTTAGGGTGGTCTGTCATTCCAACGCTACTAGTTCGGCTTCCGGCATTTTGGAGTCTCCTAGCCTTGTTCTTGATGACAATTGTAGGCTATGGGATGATCCTTGCTCAGAAAAATGACGAGATGATGGAGATCTGTCTGATTATGGTTCTGGCGATAGACAATGGTGTACAGTTGGTTTTGATAAGCTTCCTAAACTTTACTCAAATAAATCATTCCTACAAACAGTATCCTTTTAAGATATTTGCCTTCCTCAAAATCAATATATTTTTTCTGTTTTTATCGTATTTTGCAGCCTTTGTTGTCAGCTCACTCCAGATTGCAATTCATGTTTATGGCATAGAAAAGAGCGGTTCAATATCTGATGATTGTTTTAATGCAATTATTGCCGTAAGGAGATTTACAGAGGTTGTATTCTCTTACAGAGTTTATATTTTTTACTGGAATAAATTGTTTTCTGATCCCAGAAATATTCTTTGTCACTACGACTATTTGGAAGAAGTTACAAAAGAAATTAGAACGAGTTAACGGTCAGTTAAAGAAACAAGTGTGCTTTAATTCTGCTAGTGTACGTTTCAGAAAATAGCTGGAGAAAAGGTGCCATCAGTTCACAGCAGCTGTAAGTTTTTGTGCGAGTGAGACTTCTGTGAGTTTGAAGTGCCTTTGGTGTAGGTTTATAGTCAAATCCTAATTTGGGATTAATTTCCAATTTTAGAATGTCTTAATGACTAAGTTGAGTAATTGAAGTAGTTATAATGGATATGTTTGGAAAATTTTTCTGACCTTAGCTTTGATCTCCATAAAAGTTCCAAACAATGTAATGTGTCTTTACTTTTAGCTCTGCCTTCCACGTTTCTGTTTCTCAATCATGTGGGATTGTATACACTTCAATGTGCAATTATAGGAAGTATCTAGAATCATCAAAGGCCAGCATTTTTTTGTTGAAAACCTAGATATTCTTGTGTTAACTATGAAGAGAATATAAGTCCATATTCTCCCACAGCTATCTAATGAATTAGTGTACGTCTCAGAGCGTAGTAGAGCTGAATTCATCACACAAACAGTAGCCGTGATGCAGTAGAAGAATAAAGTATTTTGTGTTTATGTATATTCGTGTAAATAATGTCGTAATTCTCTTATTTTGGGCGCAATAATTTCGTCAGTAAACACTCATTATTATATAAACTGTGGTGTTTTATAAGGTTTTCCAGAACTGGGAAAAGTCTTAACAGCACACGTGTAAAATTACGAAAACTGACCTTTCGCGCCACTCGGTCAGGTTCATGAGTGGAACGCTTACGGATAGTGACGTTCAAGATTTCCTAATAACAGAAGAAAACCAGAATATCACTGGCTATGGTAATGGCATTTCTTGCGGTTGAGAATTAAAATCGACAACCAGTAAATTTGCTAATAGGCGATATCGGTTTTGTACCAGAAATTTTTTCTGTCGGTATGGAAAAAGTTGATAACTGAGAATTTCGTGAATTGAAAGTTACGCCCATTGTTTGTTTTTATAGTGATTCAACATATTTTTTGAATGAGCCTTATCGCCCTCGCACTTTACGACCCTTCTTCGCGTACAATACATTCTCGTGTTCAACTCGCCAGAACAAATCGAAACTGTATCTCCTCTTTGGAATCTCTTTAGTAAGCTTGAAAAATCATGGAAGTTTTTAATGTTATATTTTTAACAAAACTAGCGGCCGGGCCAGATTGCATGAAACTTGCCCCCCCCCCCCCTTTTTTTATTCAACCTTAAAACAAAAATCTCCACAACTAATGGGATGATCGACAACAATCAACTCCAGCGAATGTTGTCCTTCACAAACTTTCATAGTTGTTATTGCAGTTTTAAACAGTAGCAATATGAAACGTTTACCGTATCCGGGTGGGATAACAGCGAAAACATCTTCAACCCTTGCAAGACAATTGACGGCTTTTCGCTGCACGTCTTTTGAATCGACTGCAACTTTTGCTTCAATCGATAGTTTTCAAAAATATTTGGGAATCTTTATCCAACTTTGATCGTTAGTTAATCTCTGGTCTGTGTCATGATTATAGGGCCTTTTATTTGGAAACAATCAGAATGCTGTCTTTGGCGAACACATCGAATTCGTCCGATAATGGCTTCCTCGCTGACTCTCATTTTTCGCGCCAGATCCCTCAAAGACCTTTCGCACACCGATCACTAGCTCAAATCTCGCGAATTTCCCCCCTAGTGCCGAAGAACTAACGAGGGCATGCTCGCAGGCTATGCATCAATATTTAAGAGGTTTTCAAGCGGCACAAACGGCGGTGTCCACGTGGAGAAGCTAGTGTACCCATTGCAACCCACTTACTGAATTCATCATGCGTACGCTCTGCCAGCTTAAAATTTTWGGCCTCACGGAAAGGTACCCCACCCATGGAAACCGTAACCCCATGAAATTCTCAGACATGCGCAGATTACATTACTTTGTAGCACTGCCTGAGAAAAGGAACGCGGGCTCGTGCCGTGAGTTGTTTACATCAAAGTTACAGATTTTTGTTAATTAATCGCCGGCCGACTCGCCGACGATGAGACCTGATGGCACGTAAAAGAGCTCACGGCGGCCAGTTTTCTTGCAAAAATCAGCCACCAGTCAAAAAGAAGCCGAGAAAATATGTGAATTATTCCGAAGAAATA